CTCGAACCCGCAGGCTCAGGCAATCCACTCACCTCAGCCTCCCAAGGCGCGGGATTACAGGCTGAGCACCGAGCCCGGCTTAAGAAATCATTTTTATAATTTGTTGTAAAACATTTCCTCTGACCCTACTTTCCCACCCTTTGCTTTTTTTCTCTTCTCAGGTAATACAGTTCTACTTAAACATCTTAACTCACCCAGACGATGGTCAGAGACTACATAGGCCCACTTGGGTAGTTGCCCTATTTGTGTGCCAACTTTTATTTAAAGAAGATCTTGATTAGGCACTATTCTTTTGCTTCCTGATGCCTTATTTAGTTGCCTTTTTTTTGGGTCCTTTATGTTTACCCAATATTATTTGAAGGAGAATTACTTTGGTATTTTAGAAAACAACAAAAATTAAATTGAAGAAAAATGAATAGACACACTATTAACCATTAGCATAGGTAGGTTTAAAGACCTCTTATTATAGGACTTGAAGAATTATTTAAAAACATACTCCTCCCTAGAATCGAATCACTTAGCCAAATATATGTCATGCTAATTGTCCCTGAAGGATCCTTTTCTTCATTATCTCCCGTCTGGCTTCTGGCTCAGTACTTCTAGAATTAACCTTCTGCTTATTGTAGTACAGAGGCTGCTCTTCTTACTACAAAATGTTTGTTGCTAATGTTTCTGTTGCTATTGTTGATGAACTGCTTTTTTGTGCCTTAAAAATTATGTTAAGCAAGGTTCCATTGATCATTGGATTAATTATTAGAGTGTATACTGTAGCCACTTGAAGTGGTTTCACCCTCTGTTTCCAGTTAACCCTACTCTAACGTTTCCACAAGGTCAGAGTAACATTTTCTCTATGGTTATGCTGTCTATCTCTTTCACTTTGTATTATAGCCATTCAAATAAGCCTAATCTCCTGCTAAATAGTGGTTGTGTATTTATAATATTTCTAAAGCTTCATTATTCCATTGCTTCCTCTTAGCTTTTTACAAAGAATGTTTGTCTGCCTCTTAAGGCAAAGCTTGTTGGCAAAAAAATTAGTTTAATAACATTTAACACACAAAAAAATCTCTAGCTCCCATTCACAAGCATACTTAATTGACCATACTGCAAAAATATGAAAATATATCTACCCCAGACAAACATTAGCACATGTGAACAAATAATCATCAATGTACCACTTAGGTAAAACATTAGAATTTAGTTTTTCATTTTAATAATACACAATGGACTTTATATCAATAAAGATAATTGGTTTTTTAATTGCACAGTAGGTTTCTAGTTTAGGATTAACTTTGTAACCCCCTTTTATATCACCTTCTAATCCTCTTTCAAACTTACCCTGGTCTAAACCCTTGATTTTAACCCCATTTAGGGTTAAGCCCCTTCTGCTTCTGTCAAAAGCTGGGCTAAGACATATTCACAAGGGAAAAACAAGACTGGAAAACAAATATAAACTTTGTACTCTTTGAACCTTTTTAAGCTTTATCCCTGTATTAAATTTGATCACCAGAAAATCTCAGCATCTGGTCTTTACAAAGTTACAATTTCATGTTGAAGCTTTTAGCTTTTTTCTTTTTAATAAAACTGCTTTCAAAGACAAGATCCATTATGTTGCTCAACACCTTTCATAGAAAGAGCCTGTGAGAAATACCTCTCAAAACTGAGGATCAGTGAAGAAAAATCTGATGAACTAAAGTGTTCTTCTACTAGGCCGTAAGCGCTATATACTCATTCTATTTTTGAGTTTACTTGCCTGTTCTGAGTCTACCATGCTATAGTTTTTCTAAGGCAAGGTGATTTTTAGATATAAAGCAAAATTGTATCTTAATTTTTGTATTCTTTGCTAGCGATTCTGAGTCTTGTAATCTCTGTTTTGTAATTATTATTTTTTTGTAAGCTGCTTTAACTGAAGAATAAAGTATATTTAATTTTTTTGAAAGCCTCTCTTTTTTTGGTCAGAATTTCTCAAAACATGGTCTTTTCCAAATCTCTTTGGCACCATCTTCCTTTCCTGTTTACATCATTCATAGAGCTATTACTGATACCACTCTTGAACCACATTAGGGAAATAGACAATATGAATACTTTATAAAAACCACTTACTAATTCATGTATTAAAACTAAAATAATTAAAATTTTATAGTATTTGTAAAATATTAGTTTACTAAAAATTGTTTAGATATATCTAATCTGTAACTTGGCTCATTTAAAATAAATGAAGTCCCATGATGCTATCATACAATTTGGTAAGTTTTTGTTTCTTAAGGCTTACCTGAATAATATGGGTTAAAAAATGCCTAAATTATGTAATTGGTATTTTCAAGTTTATTAAATGGCATGATTTATGTGAATGGCAATCAGTTTTCTGCTTAAATTTTCTTTATTCCACTTCTGATGTTTGCTCAGCCCTCTATTCTTCCCTGATCCAGGCTCTGGATTTGTTTTATTTTGAAACAGGATTGTGGGTGGGAAGCTTTGCTATCTCTTGTAGTTTTGAGAGTCGAATAAGGTAGAGGATGGAGAACTAGAATTCAGAAACTACTTGCAAATCACAATGTTCACTGATTGTTGTATGGGTTCCTTGAGACTCACTCCCCACCACCACTGTATATGACGATGCAATGGGTACATGTGTATACTCCACTGGGACTCACAGTCTGACTGGCTTGGCCGCCATCTTCCCTCTCCTCCTCCAAATTTCCTTTATTTCTATTTCATATTTAGGGAGCAGTATCTATTATTGCTGGTTAATGTTTAGATCACAAAAGTTTTATAAAAAGTCAAATTTTATGATTCAGAAAGCTGAAATTAGCATAAACAAGGTTGGACATGTCAAATTACAATTCTTCATAGTGTGAATATGGCCGAGGAATACATTTAAAAGTTTTTTAGAAATGCAGTAAACCACTGATTTTCTCAAAAACTTTTCATGAAGAAAAGGAATAACATGCCTAAGTAGTATTTATTACTACTTTCTGTTTTACAACATTTCTTTTTAAAAAATTTTTTATTGTAAAGATGTGTGATATAATTCAGGGTTAGGTGTACAAATGTTCATTATTTAGGTACCCTTGTTGATGAAGTGTGACTCCCCCTCCCCTGGCAGATTCCCACTACTGTCAATCCCACCTCCCCTCCCCTCAGCAGTTTCCCACTATTGCCATTTCTTGTCTTATAGTATTACAATAATTGTTCAAGGTCTGCTTATGGGTGAGAACATGTGATATGCAGTTCTTTGTTTCTAGGTTAGATCACTTAGTATTATAGACTCTTTAAGTCCATCCAAGTTGCTGTGAAGTTCATAATTTTGTCCTTCTTTATGGCGGTGTAATATCCCATTGTGTATATGTACCACATTTTCTTATCCTGTCTTCTTTCATGGGCAGTATGGTTGGTTCCATGTTTTTACTATTGTGAACAATGCTGTAATAAACATATGTGTTGCAGGTATCGTCTTTCACAGAGTGATTTGAGTTCTTCCAGGTATATTCCCAGTAGGGATTGCGAGGTGATATAGAAGGTTGATTTTTAGATCTTTTAGGAATCACCAAACTGTTTTCCACAGAGGTTGTATTAGTTTACATTCCCACCAACAGTGTAGAAGTGTTCCCTTTTCTCTGCCTCCACTCCAGCATCTGTTTTTTTTTGAGTTATTGATGATGACCATCCTGACTGGAATTAGGTGAAATCTCAGTGTAGTTTTAATTTGCATTTCTTTGATGACCAGTGAGGTTGAGCATTTTTTCATTTATCTGTTGGCTGCTCATATGTCTTCTTTTAAGATGTGTCTATTCATATCTTTTGCCCACTTTGTAACAAGGCTGTTTGTTTTTTTCTTTTTGGCACATTTGAGTTCCTTGTAGATCCTAGATGTTAGGCCTATGTCAGATACACAGTTGGCAAATGTTTTTTCCCAGTCTGTGGGCTGTATCCCTGCTTTCTTGATGGTTTCTTTGGTTTTGCAGAAGCATGTCAGTTTGATGAGGTCCCACTTATCAATCTTATGTCTTATGGCATGGGCACTTAGGATTTTGATCAGGAATTGATCACCAGTTCCAATTTCCATAAGGGTGTCTCCTTGTTTTGCCACATTTCTAACAGCATTCATTCTTCTGGGAGTAACCAGAGACATTGTGATGTGAGTACCCATCATTGTAAAGATGCTTCTAATATGCAATACTCAGTCTTCTTTTCTATCTCATTTGAAGGATGCGAGCTCATTCTGACACTGAAGGAGAATCACAGTTAGTTTCCTTATTGGCTATGATTACCATCTTTCTGCTCTTAAGGGATCTTTTGTGATTTGCTTACATTTGAACTTAAGAAATTGCAAACTGAATCCAGACATTGGAAGGTGCTCTGAAGATGGGGATCTAAAGATGCGGGCCTGCATAGAATTGAATAGGTCTGCATGGATAGGAATGAATCAAAGAGTGAGAGAGAGAGAGAGACAGAGCGAGCGAGAGAGAGAGAGAGAGAGAGAGAGCGAGAGAGACAGAGAGAGAGAGAGAGAGAGAGAGAGAAAGACACACACACATACACACATACACACACACACACACACACACAGAGAGAGAGAGAGAGAGAGAGAGACAGAGACAGAGACAGAGAAACAGAGAGAGAACATTTAAAAATTTCTTCTTTGAATTGTCATGTCTGGAGTTCTGGAACTAGTATACCTTCTAACAGTATTGGATAGGGATTCTGAAAGATTTACTTTTAGAGATGTGGCATTATATATGACACATACAAACCTCAGCATTTATTGGAAATTTAAAAAATGCCAAACCAGACTTGACATCAATAAAAAACATTAATTTTTTTTCTTATTTTAATCACCCTATTCAATTCTGCTTGTGTATCAAACAAAGACTGTTAATACTTCACTTCCATAGTCACTTAATTCTTTTGCTATGATGAATGTTTGCAATTAAACTCTATTTACACACTTGGTTAATAAGATTATGGAAAATTACTCACATTTTTAATTGATTTTTTTTCAGACTTGAAAATGTCTAAGCGCATTAATTATGGTCAGTTGAATGCATTATGCCACATTAGAGGACTACAATACAGGTAAGTTATTCATGCATTTATTTTTCTGTTGTTCAAATGGATATGAATATGTTTGTTTTATGGATAAAGTATAGTAATAAACCATTGCTGACTCTCATAGGTACCTGATTTACCACACAGATAAAAACATTTGAAAACCTGGAGGTTATTTCTTCAGATTGAAGGGGTAAAAAATATATATCATATTTTAAGAAAACAATCTAGTGTGGAATAAACATAACTCATCCCTTAGCTGGCTCTTTCTAGTACTGAAAAAGCAGTCATAGGGGGAAAAGCCTTAAATGGTTGAAAACACAAATATCGAGTGAAATAAGTACCTGAGCTGTGAATAGGGGATGCCTTAGATGAAATATACTGGAACCTGAGAACTAGGAAATATCACTTTTCAAAGCTTGGGATTCCTAAGAAATATGATATTTGAAGATTTAAGTCTTAAAAATCCATTTCCTTGCCATCTACCCTACCACCTTCCTTCACTCAGTCGGAAGCCTGGCCTCATCTTTTATGGGACTATTGAGGAAAATAGCTTAGGTTTCCGATTTTCTCTCTCTACTCGAAAGCATCTCTAAGTCACATACTCTTAACCATCTCAAATTATGTCTATGCTTTTGTCTATCTTCTCATTTCTTCTTTCTCAGAGAAGGGAATAGGGCATGTAACTTTGATATTTCTTAGATTTCTATCAAAGGGGATTTTGTTCCCCCTGTGCATTGCTGCCTCCTTGCCACTCCCAGTGCCTTTCAACATGGGGTAAAGAATTAAGTGCACACACTCTGGAGCAGAGTTGCCTGTTTTAAATCCTGGCTCAGCAACTTACCCTCCGTGTGACTTTTGACTGATTACTTAATTTCTCTTTGCCTCAGTTTTCTCCTTTGTAAAATGGAGATAATAATAGTAGCCATTTAAAAGAGTTATCAGGATGATTACATGAACTAATATATGTAAAGTAAATGGTATCTATCACATAGTAAGTGTTATAAAAGTGATGGTTTTTTTATGGTTGTTATTCAGAAAAGCTCATTCAAGTTTTTAACTGTGTTTAAAAAACTTAACATCCAAATTTTGAATCTGACTTATACATCGATCCTTTCTCTAACACATAAGAAGCTAATCAAGGCCAGAACGGAGGCTATCCTCCACAAGTATGTGTATTCCCAAGCTTGCTTCACTGCTCTGACCCTGACAGAACTTCAGGCTGCTCTCTAAAGCTGGGTAGGGTCACTGCTCCAACAGAGGGTCAGGTGGGGCCAGATGCTCTGCTCCACAGATTCTATGTGGAAATATGAGCTTCACAGATTCCATGTAGAAACTTGGCCTTGTCCCCTAACCTGAAGAAATCTTACATGGAGCACTGAGGCTGAAAGGGGCTACCACTCAGCCACTTGGCCAGGTGGGACCAGATTCTCTGCTGAGATATGTGGGGACATGAGCTTGGTTCAAGGGGGTGACACAGATTCACTCCCGAGTTCTTTTTTTTTTTTGAGTTGGAGTCTCACTCTGTCGCCCAGACTGGAGTGCAGTGGCTGCTCCCGGTCACCGCAGCCTTGAACTGCTGGGCACCGGTGATCCTTCCGTCTCAGCCTTCCAAGTAACCGGAATTACAGGCATGCGCTACCTGCCCGACTGATTTTTTGATTTATTGTAGAGATGAGGTCTCGCTGCCCAGGCGGGTCTCGAACCCGCGGGCCCAGGCAATCCACTCACCTCAGCCTCCCAAAGGCGGGGGATTACAGACTGAGCCACAGAGTCGGCCACTCCCGAGTTTTTAACTATTCATGAAGGTATTCTAGTCTGTGGATAGTTGTTGAATTCCTGTGAGGCTGACTGGAAATGAGGAAATCCTATTCTGGCATCTTACTGATGTTGATCCCTGAACTATTAGTTTCAAACATACCTTTTTTCTTCCTTGATTTCTTTTCTTTCTTTCCTTTTTTTAAGAGGTGTAGTTCCTTTTGGTTTCACATTCGAATTTTAATCTTATACTGTATGCTTTGGAAATAAACATAAATATGCTTTGAAGATATTTTTCATTTATTGAAGTACTCTATGACTTGATTGGTCAGCTCTTATGTTCTAAGGTTCAATTTACTTAGTAATAAAGAAAGTAATCTGGTTTAAAAGGAAAGTCATGCTCTTCTAAGTTGTAAATTGAAAAACGAGGCTATATTTTTGCTACTACATTTTTCTGAGTGACTAAATATTCTTATAAATTCATACCTTTAAACATATCTGTATTAGAAACATTAAACAACAACATAGTTTTTGAATTTGTACAGAATGGTTCTTGTCAAACAATTCTCTTTGTGACTGTGATATACCAAGAGATCAATATTTGTTAGTGATTAATATTACTAATATATAGCCAACTTATTCTCAAATATGGATGTAGTTATGTTGATTGAATATTTTTGTGCTTATAAAAACTATAATCCATAAATAAATTTTAACCCACATCCATTTATAAGTTACTGTAAAGCATTCAGAATTTTCCCACAAAAAAATTATAGAATCTAAGAACTGTAGAACAGGAGGTCAACTCAGAAATCTTCTGGTGGGCACTCCTTAACATAAAGATGATTAATTGTTAATCATTGTTAGGGAAAAAAAAAGCTGACAAAGTCATAGTGTACCCAGTTTCCCCAAATTTGTTCAAAATATATCTAAAATTTTATTCTTTTATAATACAAAAGACAAAGATAACATTTAAAAAATTATAGTCATTAGTCAAAATGCAAAATAAAATAAAATAAAATAAAATAAGGTAATTCTTTCTCATTGCTTCAGGTTAGGCTAAAGTACATTAAATTATATGAGTATCAAGAGTTTGATAGAGACATTTATGATGATTTTAAGGAGGCTCTTGGACAATTAAAAGGGCTTTAGGGTCTATTGATAATGTTTTATTCTTTTTATTATTATTATTTTAACAATGTGGGGTACAATTCAGGGTCAGGTATACAAATGTTCATTATACAGGTACCCTTGTTGATGAGGTGTGCTCCTCCTTCTCCTGGCAGTTTCCCTAAACTGCCAATCCCATCTCTCATCCCCTGGCAGTTTTCCATTACTGCCGATCCCTTTCTTACAGTATTAAGATAATTGTTCAAGGTCCGCTTACGAGTGAGAACATAGGTACTCTGTTCTTTGTTTCTGTGATAGATCACTGAGTATGATAGACTCTGAATCCATTCAAGTTGCTGCAAAGCCATAGGTCTGTCCTTCTTTATGGATGCATAATATTCCATTGTGTATATGTACCACATTTTTAAAATCCAGTCCAGCTTCGATGGGCAGCATGGTTGGTTCCATGTCTTTGCTATTGTGAATAGAGCTGCAACAAACATGCGTGTGCAGGTATCTTTTTTGTAGAGTGGTTTGAGTTCCTCTGGGTATATTCCCAATAGGGAAATTGCTGGGTCATATGGAAGGCCAATTTCTAGTTCTTTCAGAAATTGCCACACTGTCTTCCAAAGAGGTTGCACTAGTTTGCATTTCACCAGCAGAGTAGAAGCATTCCTTTTTCTCAAAATCCTTGCCAGCATCTGTTGTTGTTTGTTTTATAAATGATGGTCATTCTTACTGGGGTTAGGTAGTATCTCAGTGTGGTTTTCATTTGCATTTCTCTGATGATTAATGAGGCTGAGCACTTTTTCATGTTCCTTTTAGCTGCCCATATATCTTCTTTTGAGAAGTGTCTATTCATGTCTTTTGCCCACTTTTTAATGGGTTTTTTTTTCTTTTCGGCGTGTTTGAATTCCTTGTAGATCCTAGATATTAGGCCTTTGTCAGATACACAGTTGGCAAATATTTTTTCCCATTCTGTGGGCTGTCTCCCGGCTTTCTTGATGGTTTCTTTTGCTTTGCAGAAGCTTGGTCAGTTTGATGAAGTCCCACTTATCTATCTTATCTCTTATGGCCTGGGCACTTGTGGTTTTGATCAGGAATTGGTTGCCACTTCAAATTTCCATAAGGGTGTCTCCTGCATTTTCTAAGATTCTTACAGTTTGAGGTTCTACATTTAGGTCTTTGGTCCATTTAGAGTTAATTTTTGTGTATGGTTATAGGTAGGTATTCTGTTTCAACCTTCTGCATATGATCATTCAGTTTTCCCAGCACCATTTACTCTCCTCAGTGGTTGTTGTTGGAGGCTTTGTCAAAGATGAGTTGGTTGAGAAATTGAGGCTTTGCTTCTGGAATCTTTATCTTGTTCCTTTGGTCTATAAGCACGTTCTTGTACCAGTACTGACTGTTTTGATCACTGTAGTCTTATAGTAATGTTTGAAGTCTGGAAGTGTGATACCTCCTGCTTTGTTTCTTTTGCTAAGGATTGTTTTGGCTATTCATGGTCGTTTATGTTTCCATATGAATTTCTGTATTGTTATTTCCAGGTCTGAGAAGAATGATGTTGTTGGTAACTTAATGGATATTGCTTTGAATCTGTAGATTGCCTTTGGTAGGATGAACATTTTAACAATGTTGATTCTTCCTATTCATGAGCATGAAATATTTTTCCATTTGTTTATGTCTTCTTGGATTTCTTTGAACAGTGTTTTGTAGTTCTCATTGTAAATGTCTTTCACTTCTCTTGTTAGGAAGATGCTGTGGTGTTTCATTTTTCTTGTGGCTATTATGAATGGGATTGTGGTTTTTATTTGGTTCTCTACCTGCTTGTTATTGGTGTATAAGAATGCCACAGTCTTGTACACATTTATTTTGTACCCAGAGACTTTGCCAAAGCCCTTTATTAGTGCAAGCAGGTTTTTGACAGATTCGTTTGGATTTTCTAGGTATAGGATCATATCGTCAGCAAAGAGGAATAACTTGACTTTCTCTTTTCCTATTTGGATACCCCTGATTTCCTTCTCTTGTCTAATTGCCCTAGCTTGGGCTTCCAAAACAGTGTTGAACAAGAGGGTGAGAGTGGGCAGTCTCATCTTGTTCCAGTTTTCACGGGAAACGTTTCCAGTTTCTGTCTATTTAGCAATATGTTAGCATTGGGT